GCTAGATTTTCCTTTCTAGTGCTTCTTAATTTCCCTCTACACTAATTCACAGAAAGATGATGGCAATTCAGCATTTACCCTGAAGATGGGAATCTTTCCATTGTGTTTGGATCATCTGGTGGTACGAACTACATGCTCCCAGTTTATTCTTCACGGGGAGATGTGAGAACCTGCCATGATGCCATGGCATCTACCCAGAGCTAGAAAGCAGGTGTTCCCAAACATTTGGAGATGGAGCATTTGAAGTAAGATTATTATCTGATGAGGGTGTGTAAGGACATACTGCAAGCAATTTCTATCTGTTCATTAAATGCTGTGCCCTCAAGGACCTCCCTGCCAGTGGTAGGGTTATTGCATTCATAGACGTGCTCCTTGATAGAGGCAGGTACAGCTAGGAGTAGAAATTGTGCCCTAGGAGGTTACAACTATAGTAGCTAAAGGTCAGCCCAAAGTAAGTATACGTTGAACCTTAATTGATTAACCTGGTAGATGAAACTGGGTTCCTCAGGTTTACTAAAGCCAAACTTAACCTGCATATATTAATAGTGGCACTGAACATACATTTACTATATAGTATAATTAGGGTAATTACATATCTGGACACATAATAGTATAGTCTAAATACCGCATTCTTAGTTTTCTATCTTTAGAATATATGCCAGCCACAGAAAGATTTAACCACTTTGTGAGTGCAAAATACTGAATGTCGGATGCTCTCAGTTAATGGTTTAAACTCTAATCCTGTAGCATATAAATTCTCGTTGTTTACTTAGAGAATTTGTGTCAGAGCCCTCTAATGGCTTGGGTTGAGGCCATCACCTCTAAGCATAGCTACCCTTGAAGCCCACTGAGGCATCTTAAAAGGCAGGATGCAAACAAACCAGAACAATGTCTCATGAGCAAAAGGTGTTGTGGGAACTGTAGTAAATGGTAAGACTCTTTCACCTCCTGTATTGTATAAAATCTCAAAGAAACTGAGTGCTTTGGGAACACTATGCATTGTGGGTTTTAAGTAGTCTTTTGTGAAGACTAATTTTGATTATTTAACTCAGTAGTCCTTCTAGAACCTCTGATACTAAAGAGTTACTGTAGTATAGTTGACACATCATAGTATATTTAAGAGATGTGATCATTACGTTATCATCAGACTCAAGGATAATATTTTTGCATTTATTTAAAACTTTAAGAAATTGTTACATTTAAAATTAAGCTTTTAATTTAAAAAAATCTATTCCAAGATATCTACAATTGCTTTTACAAATGTGTTTCTTGAAGATTGATTTAAATGCTCTTTCATTTCTTGATTTTGAATGAGGTTGATTGCTATTATCTAATTTCATTATGATCTTAGAATCATCTGATCTGTATTTTAAAAGAATAGTAATTCTGAGAGAGCTTATTGTGGCAACTTTAAGTATATGCTGTGCGTAAATAATCCCTCTTTGAAATTTATGCTTTTCTTTACATATTCATTATCTCATTTTCAATAGAAGAAAAATACAGGATGCCATGGTTCTGAAGGGAAATAAATGGACATTGGGAAATTGCAACAGATTTACCAATTGGCCAGAGGAGGGAGTGAGGCAGCCTTTGTGGCTGGTGAGATCAATGTTTTGGCCCAAAGTGAAAAGTAATAGCTATTTTGGCAATCTGCTTTTGTGCAATTAAACCTCCATTAATCCAATATTATGAACAATAGGTTATATTTTACTCTGCTTTAAATGAAGACAACGCTTATGAATCAGTAGGGATTCATAAGTATTAAAGGTAGTAAAAGTGAGGCACACCCAAGCTCACAACTAAAAATTTCATCGTGCACTGGGGATTCCTAATTCTCTCTGTGTTGAAGCAAATGAATTTGCAAGCAGTAGGAGCTCTATGTATTGTAGGTTGTAAATAGTGCTCCAAGAGCATTAGTGAGATTTAAAGTCAGGCACAAGTACAAAGCCAAAAGAAACCACAATTTTTTCTTCAGTTGTGTCTTAGCTTCCAGGTAGCATAAAGATAATGAGCACCTTCCATACATATCTATATAGTCAAGGGAGTAATGCTGGTAGAGCACTGAGAGAAAGCTTTTAAAATTGCTAATCTACTTCTGCTTCTTAATGGGCAAAAAGGAAAGCTGGTGTATTAAAATTACCATGCAATCAACTTTGTATTTATGTCAGAATTCATTACTGCCTGTTAACACTGCTGCTATTTGATCATAATTAATAATAGGAAGTGAAAAATTGCATTAGACAAAAATGGAAGTATTATGACTATAGAAGGAAGGAGCTGGCTGGGGGGTAGAATAAAGGAAAACCAGAACTGTGTAAGGGGAAGAGCATCAATCTTCCAAAGTAATTAAATGTCATTTACTATTCTAGTATTTCCTTGGCTGTCATTCCATATATCTTTAAAGATGCAGAAAACTGAAATTATAACGTATTTTTGTAACATGCAGATATTAATCTCTGTTTATAGAAATTGGGACTATGTTAAAGCAGTTTTTCTGTTGTTACCTACTTGGGTGCCTAGCAGTTGTCTTGCTACCTACAGTCAGTGCTGTGTGTTCAAGAACAGAAAAAGTAGCAGAGATCTTTCTTCCAAATCCAGTAGGTGTAAGCTTGAAGTAAATAGGCTATATCTAGAGGAAGATCCCTTGTGTTCTTCAAAGGACATATGTCTAAGTGACAAGGACAAAAAAGTGTTGCAGCATTGACAAACTTGCAGGGAAATGGTTTATGCATAGTAGGGCTCAAAAGCCACTTGTTGCCTATAAAAGTTTGGGACAAGAGTGGTCTGAGCATCATGCTCCCAAAGCACCCTGTTGGATGGTCTCTCGTGGTTAAATGTTCCAGATGCTGTGGCTCCTGTGTGGGCTGTTCTGCAGTTTGAGAGCCACCATTTAGCTCCTTTATTCATTTCATCCAAGCTCTTGTCATCCCCAGAGCTCCTGCTGCTTCACAATGTTTCCCACTGTCACTGTTCCCAAGCCACTGAGCCTGTGGCCAGCATGGGGCAGTGCCCTGGGAGGCTGCTGCCACTTAGCCACTTACAAACCATTTGGCCCTGGTAATGTCTCTGGTGGTAGCCCCCACACCTGCAGAAGATCTGATGAAATGCTGGTATGAAATAGTATGCAAACAAGATGTAGTACTGACCACATGTGGTATTTTTTTTTTTAACAAGGTACCACTCCAAAGAAAATATTTCCAAAGAAAATGTTTTCTTTCGTATTGTGACAGCTTCATCTTAAAGGCCAAGAGTATATTTTTATACTCGCCTTCCCCCCTTGTAGGTCTCCTCAAAGGCTGTTTGAACCAATCACTTGATATAATTATCTCTCTTTGGTCTGACATCAGGGAAGAAGGGTAGGAGAAAAATGGTCACATCTGCCAGTGATGGAACCAACAGATCTATTTCAGAAAAACTCCCCGGCTTTCAACATTGGCCTCTGATACACAGTGGGAAGCCTGTTCTGCTTTTTTAGTATTCAATCTCATAGTTTTTTAGGCTTAATTTCAAAGTGTTTATTTTCATCCTTGTTGAAATACTACTTCTTTTCTAATCTAGTAACTAGTGCAATTCCTTAAGATGATGGTCATTATGTTTTCTGCATCTATGAAGCATTGTTAGAGCAAATGGGGAGGTGGCAGCTGTTTGCACCAGTAAGGCTAATGAAATGCAAGGCACATTTACATATCCAGGTATTTCACCAACATCCACAGCACACAGCAGGCCAAATTCGTCCAAGTGCAGCTTCTGGCAAGTAGCTGAGACATCCAGGAAAGTCTGTTTTAAACATGGTTGCATTCATACACCAAGTATGAGCTGACTGGAATCAGGGCACACAATGTGTTTAAAATGTGGTGAGTCTGCAAAAATTTAAGAAGTATTTAGAGTCCATATGAGGACACTGGTAGTAAGAAAAAGCACCAGTGGAAGAACTGACGAAGCTGTCCTTTTTCTAACCTTTCACCCAATTTAATTTATACAATCTACCAGGGTCTTAGATTTAAGCCTAAATTAAAGCCCCAGATTCAGTGCTGAGATAAACTGAATTCCACAGGAGTTGTGGCCATTCATACAATGACAGAGTTTGTTTGTAAAATAATGATGTGCATTTCTGCCAAAAATTTCAGTATTTTAATGCCAAGTTACTGTCCAGAGGCACTTAATATTCTTGCTTCACTAGGTGTAAAACTGGTACCTCTACTCTGGACAGTTTAACATATAATTTCAAGTTTCTAAAAAAATAAAGGATTGGTTGTCAGCATTTTGCCTGGGTCATTTCCCAGCCATAGAGTTCTCCCTAGCAGATGGCTGCATCCATGTCTGCCACAGGACTTCCTGGTGATACCCAGTGGTGAAGCTCACAGGACTGTGGCCATCCTGGGACGTGGCTGAGGCACTGATGGCAGCAGGAGCTGACACAGCTCTGCCTACATCACAGCAAGGAGCTGAGGATCAGGACTTCAGATATAGCAGGCAACCAGCAACACCAGACATTGAGATTCATTCTACTGGAGCTATTTAGGTTTTGAGGTATTTAAAAAAAATATTTTTTTTTTTCCTCACTCAGCCCAGCCCTTCACCTCCTACATTCTTCCCTCTTTGGACTAAATTTCTTAGGATCAGTTTGCATGTTTGTTCTGTATAAGCAGGGCAGCTACACCCAGGGCATTTTTGCCTGTTCAGGGCTTTTCTTCTTTCCAGTTCAAAGTTTTTCTCCTTCATTTAGCAAATCATTTAAGGGAAGCATAGATGTAAGGGTGTGCTTGCTTGTTTATTGTATGTACATGACAGAGCACTTATATAATTTTTGAACATTTACTTGCTCACTGATCCTATAGAAGATAACCGCACCTGACATTTTGCAACCCAACCCTGCTAGTTGGGTTTCTGGAAAAACTTTTGAGTTCATTAACATGAAAATGACAGGAGAAATTCCTGTGGTTCTTTTCCCCCTCAACTCTCTGCAGTAACATAATATCTTGTGCTGTTTTGTTTTTCAGGTTGATGGCTTCCTGACACTCCTCTTTGGCCTGGCTAGCATTAATACCCTTACAGTGATCAGTGTGACACGCTATATCAAGGGCTGCCATCCTGAGAGAGGTAAGGAATAAAGGCAAGTCCAGTTCTGCCTTCGCTGAACCTGATGCAAATCTGTATTTCTCTCAGCCACTATTATCAGTCAGTCAGCCTATATTAAACATAAATATAAATTAAACACATTGAAAACCAGGACATAATACAGTAATTTACATTATAAACATGTTTTCATAGTATCCTTCAGGGTTAACTCCAGTAAGAGCCAAATTATTACAAGTGCACTTGGGTCACCACAAAGGTACCACAGGTACTGCTGACCCTCTGTATTCCTCAAAATATTACTCAATATAACCCTAAGTTATACATCCTTGTCTGGATCTTACTGAAAAAATATTTGATCTTCTATGAGATGATGTCTGAGAGGTTCTGGACAGGGATCAGATAAATTTTCATGCCTTTGTTGCAATTCTCTTGCACCATATTTTGGGCAGGAACCTATCAATGTCTGCAAGGAAAGCACATGTGAGTACAGAGGATGCATCAGATGAGTTTTTCTCTTTACTAGCACAAAGAGTATTTGCTGTGCTAAGAACTTCTGCAGGGAGGTCATTTTTCCACAGAAAAGATTTCCACTTTTTGCAGTTTGGTGCAATGATATACTTATTGAAGTTAACCTTCAGCACAAACTGCTGCTGGAGTTGATAGAGTTTTGCTGTGATGTAATCCTACATCTTCTATTCATTGCCTGTTAAGTCATATTTAAAACCCACATTTTTCTTTTGTGAAGCTCTACCACATATGTATCTGATGGTGTGCATAATTTATGTTTGAATCTCGAGTAAATTTGAGCAAGTACTGAGTATAACATTGCAGAAATGCTGAGGAACAGAAATTGGTGGATGCATAAATATTTCCCACATAAATGAAGAAATAGCCACAGTGTATGGCAACAGCAGAAGAGACTGAATCTTTTGTACCAAATGGCTAATACATGCTGTGCTATTTTCTCCTTTTTAACAGTGAAAAACCTTGATGCGAGTAAGGAAATCTCCTGAGTTTAGATTTATCTTGTTAATTTCTATATAAAATAAAGCTGTATCCTGCATTTTTACAAAATTACAAAGCATGAATTTAACACAGAATTCACTAATTCCAGAGCTCTCAACAAACTCATTGTCTCCTGCTTAAAACCATTCATGTCCACTCTTCAGTGGGAACACGAGCCTTACATATGTTTTCAAAATCAAACTTTTTTTAAGAATACACATTTTTCTACCTTAATTTTTTTTAAATACCAGTGCATTTGGATTTCAGAGATACATTTGCCTTTCCAAGTACTATTTTCTGACCTAAGCTTGCCATTGCAGGTCACTGCATCAGCAACAGCAGCATGTCAGTGGCTCTGGTTCTCATTTGGGTGGCCGCTTTCTTCTGGTCTGCAGCTCCATTGCTTGGCTGGGGCAGTTATACAGGTAACAGGTTGTACTCAGTTGTACTTACTTGGCACCTCTCCACTTAACAAAGATAAACTTACCTTTCTTTCTTGCTGTTTGTGATAAACCAGACTGATTATCAGTGGAACTGAGGAAATCATTCGTTGTCCATGACGTAGGTGCACAGTGTTGCCTGCTTTGGTATCAGCTATAAAGAGATTTTTTTTTGCAGATATCACAGGAAGATCTTGGACAAAGTGCATATTGCCTATGGAAAATGAGAGGCCAGAAATACTTGGCATAGTTAAGCAGTGAGATAAAGAAAACTATCAAAAGACATCCTTCAAAAACTGTAAAGTTTAGAAAACTAGCAAAGAACACAAGTTCCAGCAAGTTAAACTTGAAAGTGTAATAAGACAACCCAGAAAGATTTGGCAAAACAATTTGTTGAAAATATGAAAATTTACATAGCAAAGGAACTCAAAGGTGTTGGAAAGCTTGTCAGTCCAAGAAAGAATTAGAGTGCAAGATAAGGCCATATCAAAAAAGGAGGGTGAGGGGAAAAAGGAAAAAATTTGTGTAGTGAACACTGCAGAAATTCAGTGGCTAAGACATGTGACAGACCAGAAAATTTCTTCAAGGGGAAAGATGGAGAAATTGCCTCAAGTTAAGCCTGTAAGACTTTGACAAACCAAATATCTAGGAACAAATGGTAATGATACAGAGGTCCCAACAACTGAAATCATGTGACTGACATTGTCCAGCCTGGATTTCCGGTCTGGATTCTGTAGGTCTCTACATTCTTTGAGAAGTCACAAAATCTATGGAGACTTTCTGAAGCAGCTGTGTGCATATATTCTCTTATTTACTAAGTATGGAAGCTTTGAGATATCTCTGGACCCTTGAAGTATGGGTGTGAGAAAAGCAGCTGTTCCTATGGTTGGTTAAATATTCTATCCTTCACAAACCAAAACACTCCCAAGATATTAGGCTCAATGGACCTTTGGTTTGAGACAAATTCAAACTGTTTATTAGACTGTCTGAATTTTACGTCATATTTTTGCACTCTGGACTGTCATAAACTTGGTGTTTTTGGACTGTGTATCTTCTGTGTATTTCTGTCTGTCTTCTGTAGATCTGTGTTCTTTTTACATTAATCTACCAGCTCTTAATTTATAGGGGGACTTTTGTTGTCTGGTTTTGGCCTTAAAACGGAGTCAGGAACCTTTTGGGCAATGCTGTTTTGTCAGGACATTCAGGTGCCTCCATGGACCCTGTTTGAATTCAATTCCTTGACAGTGGTTTTCAAGACTGCTTCTAGGAGTGCTTTCCCCTGCTGAGACTCAGAGCAATTTTGGGTTCCTGGGCTGTCTCTAAACATATCTCCAGAGATGTAGGAGCCCAGCAGTGGCGAGTTCAGCAGCAGAGCACCAGCAGAGCACGGCACATTGCAGCTGTCTGCCTCGGGCCTTTCACTACAACACAGGGGCCGCCAGGACCCCACCAATTTTTTGGGAAAGTCACTTGTTTTTGTCCCTGTGGAGGTATAAAAGCATAACTTTGAATTCTGACTCACGAAAAATCTGCCGAATTTTCTTTTCCTGTCGTCTGGAGGCTGGTTTCATTTTTCAGGCAAAAGTTTTCAAAAGCAGAAACCCAGAATGAAGCCAGATTTTACAGTTATGTTTTCGAATCTTGAGGTCTACTGACAAAAAAGGCAAAGGAGAGAAAAATCTATTTCTATTACAGAAGACATCCTGTATAGCAACATCTAGAGCTTTTGGTGGTGAAAATACTGATCTCTTGGATGAGAATCACAAAAGAGATTTTAAGTTTTTGCTCATTTAATTCCTTCTGTTTAAATCTCCTATCACCTGTGGGGAATTAAGGGATTTTTTTTTCCTTCAAAATTACCACTGGATGTTTGGGAGAGATCTGCTGCTAAATCATGTAGTCTTCACCAGTATTGTATCTCCAGCACCTGTTAATAGTTGATTTTCCTAATTTTGATTCATCTTTCATTTATTTGTAATTCAATTTGTTGCCATAGCTGTCAGGAAAAAAAACCAACCACTGCAGTTTTTTCTACTTAAAAAGAAAATTACACAATTCACAATCTACAGGAAAAACCTCTAAGGTTATAGAATTCAAGTTTTCTATCAGGACATCTTTGCAAACACATTAGGTGATGTAAAGAACTCAACAGTTATTCATAAAAGTGTTCAAGCCAGAGGCATTGTATATCTAATGGGAATACACATTATTCCCACTGCCTTTTCCTTAAGCCCCTGATCAGCTAGTGTCTCACTAGTGGTGGTAGACCCTGCAATCTGCCTGTCTTCATTTCTAAATGTCTGCATCTCTATGTTGCAGGATTGTGTGTTTCCCATTTATCAAAAGGTCTCATATATTTCTAAGTATTTATATGTTTTATCTTCTCATAATCTTTGTCATTAGCTATATCAGCTTAGTCTCATGGCTCTCACTGCAGTAGAAGTTCCATTACCTCAAGAAGCCTCAGTATTTTTTTTTCCTGCTTAGTTATTTATGTAAGTAGTGACTTTTTACATTTGGCATATTGTCTATGGAATTCCTTGTTATGCTGCTACAGCACTCATCTTAGGAAGTTCCTATATAGAGTATTATGACAAATAAGAATTCTTATCACTCCTTTCTTTTTTTTAAAATAAAGTGCCACAGTTTCCTATCCCGAAACCACAGTTTGTGCATTATGGATTTACACTAGCAGTACAAACTCAACAGAATGGTAATACACATTAAAATTTGTTAAAGTCTAAATGGTCTTGAAAATTTTTTTATGCAGGAAGCAATTTCATGTCTCATTAAATCAGAAAGATCAGTTCATTCTGTAGTGCTTAACAGAACAAAAATACAGAATTTTAACTAATAAATTAATTTCTCAAAAGCAGATCAATATTCTAAAAATGCTATCCAACTTATTCTTGCTTTCCAGATCGTATGTATGGCACATGTGAGATAGACTGGGCAAAAGCCAGCTTCTCTACAATCTACAAGTCCTACATCGTCTCCATTTTCATCTGCTGTTTTTTCCTACCTGTCACAGTCATGGTCTTCTCATATGTGTCAATCATCAACACTGTCAAACTGAGCCATACATTGACAGGACTGGGTGATCCCACAGACAGACAGAGGAGAATAGAGCGGGACGTCACCAGGGTGAGTTTGGGTTTCATATCAGGTGGGTTTCATCTCAATTAAATCTGTCTTTCCAAAAATTGATCTCAACTAGAACAGAAGAAAACAAAACCAACCAATTGCATTTCATTTTTTTTTATAACTGTAGTGACAGAGTCTGAAATCAGTCAAGAATATGAGGTTTGTTTAAAATTTCTGCTGCATCAATTGGTTAATTCACATTTGAAAAATAATCTAAATATAATTGGAGTGGGTTATACAGCACAAACCCCAAAAATTTGGTTTGGCATATGCTCTTTTCTTTCAGAAGTTACAGTAAGTCTGAGCATACTCAGAAGTTAGAGTGGAGATTGCAGTTTACTCAATGTTTAGTTAAGTCGATCTGAAACCCTCTGTATTCATATAAACACACGGAAATGCAGCTATTTTCATTCTGTTAGATGAGGCATTTCTCAACCACACCACCATGCCAAAATTCAATATGTAGCTCCTAGATCTTCCTGGCTGCATCAACGCAAAACATTTGCATGCTTGCCCATATTCTCCTATAAGCCATACCCTCAGGGCAATCCAGACCTTTCCTTTCTAGCCAAGTGTTCAAATTATTCTCAGTGTTTTGCTCCCTTGATGCAGTCTTCCAAAATAGATTCAAGATTATTCTTCTTCTGTTTTTTAGGTTTCCATTGTCATTTGCACAGCCTTCATTATTGCATGGTCACCATATGCTGTCATCTCTATATGGTCTGCCTATGGTCACCCTGTGCCCAACCTTACCAGCATCCTTGCCAGTTTGTTTGCTAAGTCTGCCAGCTTCTACAATCCCATTATCTACTTTGGAATGAGCTCCAAATTTCGAAGGGACATTTTCATCTTGTTCCATTGTGCCAAGGAACTCAAGGACCCTGTGAAGCTCAAACGTTTCAAAAACCTCAAACCAAAGCAGCCACAGCCTTCTCAGAAAGAAGAGAAATATGCACCAGAAATGCACCCTGCACCCAGCCCTGATTCCGGGGTGGGAAGCCCAACCAACTCCCCACCTCCAGCAAACAGGGAAGTGTATTTTGGTATTCTTGATACACCATCCAATAACCCCAACATCGAATGTGATAGATTGTAAGTTTTATGGCTGGCTGCTTAACACACACACACTTTGTGTTCAGGAAGACCCTTACAGAGCAGCGCTTGATACTTGACTAAATCCCATTCCATCTGTTCTTGATATAGCACTGATGGCTATTCAACTCAAGTAAATCAGATGGTAAAGTGATATTTTCCTTCTATGTAGGTACAAAATTCTCCAAAGAACATTAAAATGTGGGCAGCACACCCACTGCCAGAAACACTTGATTTCACATGCATGCAGGAAAAGAAAGACTGACTTCAGGAGAGCAGGCATTAGATACCAAAATTAACTAATACCTTCCTATCTAAATTTTATCAGTTCTGGACTACATTTCCAAATATGTCTTTTGCTCATTAACAGTAACAGCCATAGATGATTGTTTTCACTCTGTGGTATTTCACAGCCATGGCTGTAGGAGAAGACTGGCCCTGCTGAGATTGCTGTGGAGCTGCTACAGCTCCAAAGGCTGTAAGGTGGCAGAAAAAGTCCTGTTCCCCCTGCAGGGTACCCAGGTGTGCCCACCACAGGGCTCCCAGGCCCCACAGGCACCTCATGAGAGTGTGTCTGATCATAGGATCAGAGAATACTTTGTGCTGGAAGGGACCTTAAACATCAGCTCATTCCAGCTCCGCACCATGGACAGGGACACCTTCCACTAGACCAGGTCGCTCAGAGTCCCATCCAGCCTGAGCCTGAATGCTTCCATGGATGGTGCACACACAGCTTCCCTGGGCAACCTGTTCCAGTGTGTCACCACCCTTACAGTGGAGAATTTCTACCTAATATCTAATCGAAACCTACTGTCTTTCAGGTTAAAGTCTTTCCTCTTTGTCCTAACCCTTGTAAAAAGTCTCTCTCCATCTTTCTTGTAGGCTCCCCTTTCGTTCTGGAAGGCTGCTCTAAGGTTTCCCCAAAGCGTCCTCCAGACTCAAGAGCCCCAGCTCCCCAGCTCTCAGCCTGTCTTCATAGATTGCCACCATAGGCATTCTCTGGTGGCCTGTGCCTGACTCTGTGTGTGTCTATGCAAGGACTAGGAGTTGTTATATATTGACAATACTAGTCTGGTATTTTCTAGTCATTGTAGTCTGAGCAGTGGCTTCATCATTTCCTCATTGGTTTGCAGAGTTTTTTCCACCCCCACTGACCTTTCTGGTGAGCAGGGCCTGGCTGTGGCATTCTGATTCAGGAAAGCTGATTTGATTTTACTGATTGGTCTCCAAACTGATTGTTTTTCTACCTTCCTCTGAAGGTGGAGCAAGAGATGTACAGATAATGAAACCAAAACTGACTTAGGGTTTAAGAGTACTGATGAAGTATGGCATCAGAGCTATTTACAAAATATAATCCAACACTTCACTTTTGCTTCAAAATAAAGTGTTGTTATCTGCCTATGGGTAAAAAAAGTGACTTTTTTTTAAACCAAACTAAGTAGGAATTAAGGAGAGTGATTTAAATTATTTAGTAGACCTAAATCAGTTGCCAGACTACCAGATGTTACAATATCCAGTTATATTACCAAGTTGTTTTTTTTTTTTTTACAGAATCAGAATGAGGAGATATGTTTTCATAATTCCCTATCTTGTAAATTAACTGCATACCCAAAGAATTCTTTTAAAAATGTCTCTGTGTTAGCCATTGAAATTTTGGGTTCATTTAGTGCCATTTGCAACTTAAACAGGGAAAAATTAAAAAAGAAAAAAAAACAGCAACACTCTTTGCTAACCTCTGCTATTTAGAAACTTTTAAAACCTTGTTTTCTGGGTATGCTGAAATGTAGTTGTTTCGCAAAAATATGCCCTTGATGTGTTTCTTGGGAAAGTTGCTGAGAGAGCCCACCTCCATTCACCCATTACTCTATTTGTTTTGAGAAAATCACCTGTGTTTTGAAGTTAAAAACAAATAAACAATATAAAGCAACACTGGGGAGCTGTGCTTTCTTTCATGGCCACAGAACTGAACTACAAGAATATTTCTTTTTGTGGAAAAAAATTGAGATACGGATGCTATTTCATTACCATAAATAATTAAAAGCCAATAAGTAAATAGTTTGCTTCCAGATAGAAGTGCGTGCTGTAGCTGCAGAAGTAGATGAAGTTGTTTAGTGTGAAATCCTGTAGCAGCTGGATAAAGCCAGGCTGGGCTGACCAAAGCTAGCACATTGTTTTGAATGTTTCTAAGCGTAGCACAAAATCCACCTTAGTAGCTATGATGGACTGAGACTTGTCACTGCTGCAAGTGCTTGGGTTTTGCTGCACAGAGAGGCAGCAGCGTCGTGCAGCCCCGTTGCATTCCCAGAGACACCCACAGCCACAGGTGTGCCAGACACCCCCCCCCAGAGGCACTCCATGGCTATAGGTGCCAGTCTGGCTTGTAATCTGTGTTTCTGCTAATTTACAGATACCTAGAGAAAATTGCAAAAATGCTGTTGATCTGCAGGATTGAGACTCAGACATAGAAAGGTGTGGAACAGGCAAGGAGAAAGGCAGAGCACGAGACCATTCCACAACTGTCCCCAAACTCCAGCTGAAATCTCTAAAAGCTCATATACCATTGAGCACATATGGTGAGGTTAGACTGGGGGAAGAGGAAGGAATACAAAAAAAGCCAGAATAGGATCAGAGGAAATATATATAAAAGGGTGGAAACCAGATCAGCAGGGGAGCAAGAGGACAGGTGTCAAAGAACGTGTACCCGCTGATAGACAACTAGAAATGAACAACACAGAAAAAGCCTTTACTGGGCCGCCCAAGACCTCTCTCCTGCAAGGCCAAGAGCTCCAGTCCTTTATGGATACATGGTGATACCACAGGATTGCACAGCTGTAGAGCAGAGCAGCTGGTTTCACAGCTTTCATAGGGTGTCTTTGCAGGCACCAGCCTGTGCTCCAGGCTCAGCAACAGTAGGAACACACTTGTCACTAAAGTTACCCAGGTAAAAAAGCTTCCAGCCCTAAGGCATTAGTGCCCTGTGGCTGCGCCCACAACACCAGCAAGTGGCTAAAGGCAGAAAAAAAGTCCAGAATCTATTACTGGAGTGCATGTAAGGGAATGCACATCAGCATTTTAAGCATGGGAATCAACACAAATCCATTTGTGAAACACTTTTCCTGTGTCCTGTGTTTCCTCCCTTTGTCTCTGGTCCCTCATGTGCCCAAACAAGGCTGGCCCCTGCTACTGCATTCATAGCCTCTTGAGCCAATGCTGCCACTCAGAAAGGAGCAAAGAGTTTGGTGACATGAGACAGGCAGCAAGGAGTAATTATGCTGGAAACGGTGTGGGGTTTCATGACTTTTACTTAGCAAGAATGAAGTACAAACAACATAGAGTCCCAGAGTCAAATCACTTCTCTCCATAACCTTGCTGCTCCTCACAGTCTTGCATTTTCTTTTACAGCTGGTGATATTTAGCAGCAGAGATGTGAGAAGGCTGTTGTCCTGACTGATATTCTGGTGGCAAGGAGGCTTCTCTGGAAAATTGCAGGTTTGAATGATCTCCATCTGAGATGGTCTTACTCAGATGGGAGTAAGACCACCTCAAAAGGGAGGTCCTATTTCAATGTGGCTTGTATTGAATGGCTTAGTGCCAGCCTGCACAAATGAGATCTCATGTCTATTGCTAGTATCCAATTGGTCTCTTGTCACGAGGTAGGAGAACAATATTTAGATCTCTCTCCCTTTGGCATAGAAATTCTGGCCTGTAGGCTCCTTCTGTCCCTCTTGATCAGCCCTGTATTCTACTGTGAGATTTGTAATTGTTGGGGTTGTTTTCATGTATGGCACACCAAAACAATAGCACCATGTGGCAGAAGGTAGTAGGCCAACCAATTCTACCATTTTTGAAGGATGCTGTCAGCATTTTCTGTCTTGTTCCAGCAGGATCTGAGACACATCTTATCCTAGATGCAAGGAACCCACTCAAAATCTCCTTGCTAGTGGTTCATTGTCAATTTCTGTAATCACAGCCTTTTTGACATTGCTAAAACACCCTGGCAAAAATGATGTGCATAATGAAGTCACCTTGAAAAATGCTTGAAGCCCTTAAGCCACCCTTTAAATTATGTCTTTAGCTATTTTACATATTAATTTCCAACAATTTCCCAACTCTTTTGATTACCTATTGATTAGTATGCTCAGCAGGTGAGTTCCTAATGGCCACATAACTCATGTGTATCAAAATCTCATCAGATCTTACTTGATTACTTCTTATTATCAATATTATTCATAATTATCAACATATCAGTATTATACCAAAATCACTGCAGTTATTAATCATGAAGTACAATTATTACTACTCACATGTGCAACCTGGCCTTGCAAGTGGATTACCAACACCCCTGTCACTGACACAACTCTTTCACTGGGGCCACCAACAATTAAGTTAAATTCAGGATTACTTCTATTCAATTTCCACATTTAAAAATAGCCTCTTCTAGAGTGGGGAGAGGAAAAAATATTATAATCCTTTGTTTATTTATGCCAAGAAAACCTCCTGGGCCCACATTTCCCCTGCTAGCATTTTTGCCAAGCTGAAAACCCTTCAGGATGTTGGCTCGTTGAAATACATAAGAGCATTTCTTAACAGCTTTGACATTTCTCATGCAAACATGAATAACTTGAGTGTGTAGTAGGAGGGAGTGGGATAGCCTGCTCCAGTCCAGTCCCTGTTCTCAGCGCTGTTATGCATTTTTATCTAATGACTCATGTAAAAGTATCTCTTGTAGCAGAGACCAGAAAACAAGAACCCCTTCATCCCCCCCTTAAGACAGTAATTTTATTACAGTATGAACTCCTCAGGCTTGCACCCCTTTGCTGGCCTTCTTCACCCCAAAAGTTCTTCATTCTTGGCTGCACAGACTGACACAGTAAGAGAGATCTGGGGTGTGTCCATCCAAGCATGGCCTATGGCTTAGCACTTTCCCCAGAAGAGACAGATGGAGACAAAACCCCTTCCTGAGGTAGAGTTCAACTAGAACATTGTTCTAGTGCTACCCTGGTGAATAGTTTCACCTTGGGCAATACTGAAAAGTGTTGGTAACACAGCCTTGGCTCTGTTTTCAAAACAGCCTGGCAAAACTAGGTTTTCTTGCAGTGCTGTTTGTCCCTCTGCCTACCTCTCAAATTGCTGAGAGCATGGAGTCTGAACCTTCTCAGTAAATCAAAAAATCCTGAGGATTTTTGCAAGCACTTCAGGAACTCAGCAGACCAAAGTGAAGATGCCTGCAGGATAAAATGGCTTTGTGCTTTGTTTTGGTCTGAAGTGCCTTATTCCCATCTGCAGCAAAGACTCCCTAATCCCTTTCTGCATTGATGATGAAGGGATATGAAAAGCTACAATCTCATGCAGTTGGGAAAAAATATCTCTAAGGTCCACATGACCAGCATATATTTCTGCTTCCTGGGAGATGGCAACCAGGTGATTCCAGATGAAGCAGTCTAAAACAGAAAACACGGTCCTCTCCAGAAGCATGGAGTAAGGGTACTGCTGGATACAAATATCCACAGATCCTGCAAGCAGCTTTGTGCCTGGAAGACTCTTAAAGAGCTTCATATACCCAGACTCAGATTAAAAGAGGTAAGTGAATTGCATTGACTGCAGGAAAGAGCAGAAGCTTTTCATCTGGATATATGCTTTTCTCTATAGCTTTGAGTACCCACATATGTATTTAACACATATTTCTTAAAATATTTTCTGGGTTGGATTATTTCTGTATCATCATAAAAGGGAAGCAAGACTGCAAATATCTTGGTGTGCAGGAGAAGCACAAGAATAAATATAAGATTCAAAGAATGTCCAATAATACTAGAGTAGGAACACAGAACAATAAGAAAATTACTAAATGGAATGTAATAAACCCATTGCTAATAGAGAAAACAGGGCCACACGGAATAATAAAAATAAAAAAAGAACTACCAGCTGTCTCTGCCAATAACCATCTTATTTGATGCTCAGTGAATGAGACAAAAGCCCTCTGGGGATAACAAATATACAGCATTTAATTATGTAATAGGATGTAACCTAGTAAAAGGAGAGTGGAAGGACTTGAAAAATCACTGCAATAAATGCTCTTCTTGGCTGATATTTGACAGCCTTCTGTAGCCTTTGACACTGTACACTAGCCAGCCTGGCTGCTGGAAAGAACCACTGCTGGGATAGTACTGGAGGGTGCATGTGTGGCCAGAGGAAGCTCTGCTGGGTCCAGCACAAGGTCACTGCAGGCTGCCCGAGAACAAGGCATCTCTGCATGTCACAGCTGCCACAGTATTGGCAAAACAGAGTGTGAACTCAAGAATAATGTCTGGCAGCACAAGTGAGAGCATGAGCATCTCTTTGTGATGTGACCTGGCAAAGCCTTATCATGTGCCAAAGACAAATTTCTGATTCATATCACATTAATGTTCATACAGTGAACTGGGAGAACTCAGGGCATATTTGGCACCACTGGTAAACTGCTGTGGGAAATGAACAACACTAACTACTTCTCTGAGAACAAGCTAGCCAGTCATGAAATAGCATGCAGCCTACACAAGGATTTAAAGGAAATAGAAATTAGGCTTTAGGTCATCCTTAAATGATACCATATTACTTGACAACCAGCCCTCATCTTCCTTTTCTGAAAGGCAGTCAAGTACATTAGCATTATTGTGTGGCCTATCAGAAAAAATCATCCCAGTCAAATGACCTGTTCAAGAATTTGAAAGTTTAAGTTTTTAGCTCTTTAGTTCTTTAGTTCTTAGAATTTGAAAGCTTAGTTCTTAGCTTAAGTTCTTATGAGACCCACATATTCACACAGTTTGGAGTAGCTATTGCCAAACCATTCCACATTGTTGGAGTCATCCACTTTGGAAAGTGTATACACCTTATTCTTTGAAAGATGGTACACACTCTTCACAAGGAAGTCTTAAGTATTTTGACTTC